ACCAGAGGTTACTGGGATGACGTCAAATGTATCACACGACTGACCTTTGCTCTTTGGATAGAACTTTGCTCTATCCGGACGACCGAAACGAACGTTAAGAAATGCAAGTGACATTTTATGGCGCAAAACGATTTGAAGTAGAAAATAAAAAGCCAAAAGACTTTGTCTTTGATAAACAGCAGCTGCCATTTCTAAATGTTTCGCGAAAAAAATAATTAAGCAGTCTCTCGGCAGCGCTAGTACGAATATATGAGAATTACATCGCTTGAGTCGTCCCAGTCGTTTGAAAAACAAGGAAACGACTCGGAACGAGTCGGTCGACTCAAGCGACTTAATGAGAACCAAGGTTACGGCAAAACAACTCGTGTTTGTTTTTTGGCAGTAAAAAATTCTTTTAATGACGAGAAGCATAAACTAAATATATTCTTCTGGAAGCAAAATCAACAAGCATTAAAACAAGGCTGTTCGATTTCAGATTCTTTTATTAATGTATATAAAATATCAGCATTATATTACATTTTCAAAATATCGTTTTCGACCATATCATACCCTTAATATCACTACCCTCTACAGATTTCAACTTAAACGTGACGACAAAGAATGTAACAAGTTAACAATTTTATGTCAAGCTCTACTATATTTTTTGTCATAAAATAATTACCTATACATATGTTGATTTCTGTTATGCTATAATAATATGCTTTCATGTTTACATATATTTTCCCATTCACCCAAACGTTTTAGATGTAAAAATGTTTCATGGACTACCAAACAATTTCACTTTACGTAGTAGTTGCTCATGTTTTGAAAATGGCGGCAAAGATTGGGATTAACGCATCCAGTTCCACGAAGGCAGCAATTCCCGTTGTTACAACATACTGCATTTCGAAAATAACAGTAGTAACGATGATTATCAACGGGTTGAAAACAGCAAGTTTGGTCACTGTTACAAAAATATCGATGACGTTTTGAACTTCCACAAGGTTTCCTATCAACGTCCTAAAAGAAATTCTAGCTGTTAGAAGAAGCACAAAAATCACATTCATTAAATTGCTGTAGGTAAAATCAGTGTTGTAGCTAGTCCACCATAATTTTGTCCTGTTATGCTTAGTTTTATGTGTCAACTCTTGGCATGCAGACACAATAGATCACCAAAAAAGGAGTAATGATTATTTTGCAAATTTTACATGGCAGGATTCAAAGTTGTGGGCTGGCTATGTTGGCAGTCATAATGATTTTTCTTATTACAATTGTCATACAAATAGTTCAAAAGATCTATATAACTACTAAACAAAAACTGCAAGCAAAATTAGCCAAATGGCACATTTGGAAATTACTTAAATTAAGGACAGCGATGAACAAGGGTGAATTTCATAATGATATTTCTTATTGCGATTGTCATACAAACAGTTCAAAAGATCTATATAACTACTCAACAAAAACTGCAAGCAAAATTAGACAAATGGCACTTTTGGAAATTACTAAATTAAGGACAGCGATGAACAAGGAAGAATTTCGTTTTGAGTCATACAGAGGTTTGTTTCTAAAAATTAGCCAATCAAAACTCGCAAAACGCAAAAATGTAAAAAATGGATTGAGAAAATTGAACTTTGTTGAAAGCCTTTGGTAAGCTACGTTTTTGAGTAAAAAATATAAAAACCAAAGATTCATTTAATGCAACACTTTTTCTTAAAACTCCTCGTGGGCATTTTTTAACTTTGATCTAGAACGGAATATAACGGCTGTTGAACAACAATCATTTTACACGCACGAAGTAGCATTGGTCATGTGCTTGGTGTACAAGATTTGCCTATTTCAATGGCGAAATTTGGCAAGTTTTTACACAATGTATAACTGTTATGTTAAAGAGCTTGAAAAATTTAGCATTTGACACCTGTCATCCTTCTCTTGTCGGAAGTGTATCGTGTAAACCTCTAGCAACCAATGGTCTCGCCATATTTATCAATGGCAGTGATAAATCAGAGGACAAAATTTAACAGGTCGACCTTGCTTGGTGATTTTTGGTCAAATATTTTAAAGATTTGTTTGCATTTCAAGAGTGGGTATTTGATGACTAAGGTAATGCCTTGACAAAGAGAAGACTTGAATTGCCAACCGACTGTTGATTGGGCTCCTTGTCATTAACCTAGTTCACATATGACTGAGACTTGACTGAGGCATACCTGTGACGATGCCTGCGTTGCTCTTAAGGCAAATGTGAACATTCATCGCAGACACACTATTGGTGTTTCAGGCAGTTGTAGGAGTTACCTGCGGTATACCGCCGAAATGCCGTAAGAGTTGAATTGAGTTCCCATCACGCATTAGGTAAAAATATGGCGGATGAATTTTTAACGCAGGACATGGAACCAAAAAGACTCAATGGAAGAATTCCGATCACTTTACGATAAAAATAAAAACTTATGTATACAATACGCAACTATCGGGCCATTTATGATAAATCGTTTCTAGAGTACAAAATCAAATTTAAAGAGTAAAATCCAAATTATTCTCTTTTTATCAAACTGGTTCTCCCATCTTTGATATATTTTAAAATTACTGTTAAAAGAGCCGCATAATTCGCTAATAGTAACGCTATTTTCAAATTATGAAGCACTATTTTGTAAATTTCAAACTGCCGCTGAAATTAAGTGGTCTATCGGCCATGTGAATTATTTCATTGAAAAGCATCGCAGGCATGTCTCAGTCGGGTCACGGCAAAAAATCACAAAACATCTCAGGCTTTACTCTTCAAGAGAATATAAAAGCGTTTTAAACGCCCCATGTTTGTTGCAATCAGGCAAATCCTTTTACCTTTGACAGAATTAAATTTATTTAAACATGAAATTTCTTGCGTAGCAAGACAAGAAACCATCTTTATTATATATTTTAATTAAATTTATTATAGCCAATTGTATACATTTTCTGATCAAGCAAGTTAGGGTTAATAAATTGTGCAATCAGAAATTTGACAAAATATAATATGTTGCTATTTTAAAGCTGACCGTCAAAATTCATGTACTGTTTTAAAGGTACACTTGTGCAATTTAAGATGTTAAGTTGGAAAGTTATTTCAAGTGCTAAAAGGCAAGATAGTTAGAATTTGTAACTTTAATGTACAAACTGTTGCTTTATGAAACAGGGCCATACTCTATACCCACAGTTAAAAAAACTTTGTCCTTTTGCTTTGCAGGTTTTGATTGATTTTCCACTAAAGTAAAATCTAAAGGGAGCACTAGGCTAGTCACGATTTTAGTACCATTAAGGAAGTTTACCTTTATCATTACGCAATCGGGTATGGAGTTTGGCCCTTATTAATTGAGCGGAAGTTTGTACATTAAAGTTACAAATTCTAAGCTTTTTGCATTCAAGCATTTAAAATATCTTTTTAACTTAACAACTTAATCGTAATTTTCGCAAGTGTACACTTAAAACAGTACATGAACTTTAACTGTCCGGTTCAAAATAGCAGTATAATTCATTTTGCCAGATTTCTGATGGAAGAATTAATTAATCCTAACTTGCATGATCGGAAAATTTTTACAATTGAGAATAATAAATTTAACTAAAATATAATAAAGATGGTTTCTTAAAATGCAAAGCAAGAAACTTCATGTTTAATTAAATCAAATTCTGTCAAAGTTGAAAGGTTTTACCTGATTGCAACAAGTATAAGGTGCATTACGATGTTGTTTAGTCATTCTATTCACGTGGAACGTCAATATCTCCCGATCAGGACTGAGAATATTCAAGTGTAAAATTTGTCAAACATCTGTAACCTGTCAGCTAAAATCGACTATTTGTGAAGAGCTGCAGACGTTTTTAAGCCGTCTTAACCAAGGCATAAATACATTCAAACGAAGACGAAAATAAGAAGAACCGGCACAATGATGATGCAAACACTTAATTGAACGAAGTTACGAAGAGACGGAATGACTCATATAAAACGAGAGCTGTAAAGAAGCAATCTTTTCACTACGAAGAGTTAGTCATTTGTAAGGAGCACAATCAACAGTCAGTTAAGAATTTAAGTTTCTTCTTAGTAAATGCAGAACTTTATTAATACTATGCTAAAGTTTCTTTGTTAGCTATAGTAATAAAGAAACAACAGATTACCAAAAAAATGAGTAATGGTAACCTTTCTTTTTTTTCATGGCAGGAATAATATTGTAGGCTGGCTATGTCGATGGTCATAATGGTATTTTTTTCCATCAAATAATATAAGCAAAATGCATGTTCTGATTGGTAAATGACCTATTTTTAACTCTATGTTTAATAGTTTTCACTTCGATTTTGTAGCTAGCCGCTGCGCATGCGCGGCTAACCACTATGCTACACTGAAAAATTGTCTTTCCTTCTGTCTGTCTGTCTGTCCGTCTGTCCGGCGTAATCCTCGGTGATAGACGGATTTTCGAACAATGGCGAATAATACCGTTTTGTGCGTTCGTTACTTTGTCGTAAAATTTCGTGAGTTGATTTTCATTCGACATAAAGACTATAACAATGAATCCAAGAGCATATAAATATATAGTATTTCATATCACATTTCCTATGAGTGAACTGTGAAGCGTCTCGCCACGTACAAAGATCAAGCAGAAGTCATTTGCAGTAAGCACAGAATCGTCGGTGGCATAATCCTAAGAAAATGTTGGTATTTGAGAAATATTAACTAAAAACATCACGGCCCAAAATTTGAATTGTATAGCTATACGATATTCCTTGTCATCTATTCAAGCGGAAATAAACATGAGCTCCGATTTAAAGTGCACATACAGCTATTTTCAGTTTTTTATTCTCAAATAGATATTGGATAAATAATACAAATGCCGTTTACAGAATTTGAATAACTTTTTTCGTTTTTGAGTTATCTTTCGGCAAAGATGCGAATAAAACCTGAATTTCGACGTTTTGTAAAAAATGTCGAGAGCTCTAATCCGTGGCATGGGACTAGCTTGTGACGTCATTTTAGGAACACAGACTGACTGCCAAAACAACTTACACTGTTTCTGCATGTAAACAAACACAAAAATGCTAGATCGATGTGTAGTTTTTGGTTGTTCTAACGTAGCCAGTTCGGAGAAAGGCATTTCACTTCATCGCATACCATTTTTTAACGACGAAAGAAGCGAAGCTAAGCGTAGGAGAAAGCGTTGGGTCAACTTTGCGAAAGCTACTCGCGATAAGTGGGTCCCCACAAAGAATTCCGCAGTTTGCTCGGAACACAAGATTCGTTTTCTCGGCAATTCGGCTCGCTTTCTTGATCAGAAAGTAATTTTGCACTTTGAATCATACGAGACGAATTCGGAATCGTTGCTTACCCGAGCATTTATCCTCGAAAAGATGACAATGAACTTACAACAAGAGATCGCGGAATGGTGAGTACGTTAAAAGTTATACATATGCATATCTACATTTTACCTGGAATCTGTGAGAGAGTATATTTCAAAAATATATGCCATTTTAGATGTCTGATTATAAAAGAGAGGTTGAATCAGAAAATATTCCCAGTACAAGTAGCGAACCTCAAGAGCAAATAGAAGAAACAACTTGTGATGAGCCTGTATTATCTGAATGATCAGCTACTCTTTTCCTGGAATGTTCTGCAGGTATTCTATGAAACATGTGTGATGAAACAACTATGTGTCATTACAGTTTTTATTCCCTTGTGCCAATTTAAACTCTTTCAAGAAATTGAATGCAGTTTTATTTTTCATGAAGGCATATCCTTGTTGTAACTCACTTCGAAAGCAATTTGGACAGGGATAATCAAGAGGTTAATGGAGTTCCCCAGGTTAAAGTGCATTATCCAAAATTTATAAATGGTGAAGCTGTTGTAAGAAATGTAAAAGTTGCTCAGGATTTTGGTAAGGTTATTTAATATATTTCTCCTACTGCCTGATTTCATGTGTTAAATGCCATAACAATAAAAATCTTAATAAGAAATGATTACTATAAAATAAAATTTTGAATAATTTGCACATTGCTCCTCCAGGGTATGCTGAAGATATATATCAAGTGTTGTGCTCTCCACTCATTGATGAGGAAACATTGAGAAAAGCCAAAGGTGATCTTTTACGAATGACTCCATTGCCAATGAATTCCATGTTGGACAAGCAATCAAAAAGTGAAGCTATCTCAAAAAAAGCATGCCAGCTGTACATTTCCCCCTACTAAGCCAGGTTTAACAAAAAGACATTACTTGCTTTGAGTGAATTTGAATCTTATTTTTGGAACTGGCTCACTTTATTGTTTGATATACCTGAAGTATCGCCTGCCCAAGAAAAAATCACTGATCATTGAAATGAGAGGGCAGCGCCTCGATGCACTGTGTGTAAGAATTGGATGAAAGGCCATAAAAATATAATTAACTGTCCAAAAAACCAAATGTATCCACTTTTTAGGAGCTGGTGGTATGAGCCCAGTTAGTTGGGATTCAGTGAAGTGTGAAATGACTGCATGGAAAGAATAAAAAGAAAAGGAATTGTAATTTTGTACATTTTGTATAACAAGAATAAGTGTGAATCGAAGATGCAATACACCAAGAGTGGCTAATATCATTCCACACTTCACTGGATCCCTACTAGCTGGGCTCATGCACACAACACCTAAAATAATATATAATGCTATGTTATTTTACAAATTGTCCTCTTCATACCCTGCAAAGTGTTCATTTTTTTAAATTAAAAGTTGTTCAAATAACATGGTAAGCACAAGCTGGAAGTGGAATTCTTTTGTGTTGAAGAATGCCATGTACCATTCTTGTAAATTGCCTATATGCAACAACTCGAAAAAACCTGAAAAGGCATAATACACAAGGTCCATTAAAAGATGTAGGAGTCCATAAAATACAAATTTTGCAAGTGTGCTTTCATAGATAACCCAGATAGAAGCATTTAACTATTAATTGTAACAAACCTTTGCTCCAAGAATCCTTTACAATATCTAACTCCATCTCGTCTTTGGTAAAGATTGGCAGCTGAATTTAATGCCCATCGATTGAGGCAAATGGCATCAAATCCTGGATGCTCTGTTATGCATTTTGGCTGCCTTACTAATTCGGATACCACCATATGATCTTGCATTTCAATCATGCAATTGATAATTTCGTGGCAACATCTACATTCTTTTAGATTAACCAAGAGAGGAACACGGCACTTACCACAATTGCACCTAAGAAAGTTCTCTGTCAAAAGCTTCGGCAACAATAAATAAACAAATTTTCCAACTTTTCTTACCAAGAATCAAGAGGAACTTCATTTTGCATTCTGCGTTCGAGCTCTTCTGTTTGGCGTCTTTGTTCTTCTGTCTCTTTATTATAGTTTCTAACCACTCATCATCAGCAAGTGGTTCGTTTTCATACGCTGCAGCTTGGCCGTACTCAAAATCGCCATCGGTGTTTCGGAGCGCATTTAATGACGATTGATCTTCGTCTTCGAAATCGAATTCCCGACTGTTCAATTCAATATTTTCCGCTGTTGTTTCTGTACTCGACTCAGAATCGGATGTCGACATGTTTCGTACAATTTTTATATTAATTTCAAAGCAATATATAAAGAACTGTTATTTCACACTGTGTTGTTTTGTATGCAGCGCATTCATACGTTCCTTAAATGACGTCACAAACCTCTCGTCTTTAGTCCCCTCAGAGGCACGGAAATTTTTCAAAAGCAAGCTAATTCAAACCGCCAAAAAAACTTTGTTTTTATTTTTTTTACGAAATTTTCTTCGAAATCATATTTTCTACAGTCTAAACTTTAAAAGTTCAACGAATTTTGGAAGGCTGTATGTGCACTTTAAGTGATGTACAAACGAACAATTTACTCTTCGCTAAACTTTATAAAAAACTAATAAATAAAAGTCAAGATATTATTCAAATGCAAGCTAGCAGGCAATGACAAATATCAATTATATCTCGTTCAAGCGACCAGCACTAACAACTTTTACTTAGGCCCTGTTCACACGATACCGGATTGGTTAGATTCCGGATTACTTTTCGTAGCGAAAGGCCTTGCGTTCATACGGCTCCGCTGAAATCCGATACGCTTTGTATCGATTTTTCCGTAGCGATTTGACTCCGCTGTGGAAGTGGTATGAAAACGAATCCGATACGTTCCGTTGTCGTGTGAACGCTCGAATCCGATACGTTCCAATTTGGAAGTCCGTGCGATTTTTATAAAAAATGAAAGCAAACATAGCGATACAAACTGTGTTTTAAATGAATAATCCGCCATCAAATATAATATATCTTCAACATGGTATGTTTAAGCTTTTAACAATGCATTATCGCAGTTTGAAAAGCTTCTTTCTAGTATTATTGTAATGTCAACATATATTCGGTCGTATTTGGACTTTACACTCTTCCAGTCCTTGCGCCCATTTGTAAAAAACCTTAATACGCCCAAGCTCTACTTAGTTATCTGTCAAAAAAAATTCTCATTTCTTACGCAATATTTGAGTTAGCAACCATCGTCGTTGTCGCTAGCACGTACAAGTACTGGGGCGATATAAAAAACTTATGTATCGTCTTACAAATCCGGCATCGTGTGAACAGAGTGCATTTTTCGTATCGGACTGCTCAGCGAGTCTGTTACAAGACCAATCCGGTATCGTGTAAACAGGGCTTAGTAAGATGTATTGTTTGGTATATAGTCCAATTCGGTTTTATTTGCATTGCTTATACATTTTTCGCTTTACTCATACAGACTTACAGTACTCTGTTCTGAATTTAATAAAACACTGAAAGCAAAATATTGTTATTTTGAGAAATATTTTCTATAAACATCACGGCCCAAAAATTGACTTGTACAGTTGTACAATATTCCTGTTGTCATCTATTCAAGCGGAACTAAACATGAGTTCGAATAATGGGATGTAAAAACGAAAAATTTTTCTTCACAAAACTTTATAAAACATAATAAATAAAGTCAAGATATTTTTCAAATGCCTGCTCACAAGCGACAACAAATAACAGTTATATCGCGTTTTAGCGACCGGTATTAACAACTTTTACATGTACTGTCTTGTATATATATAGTCCAATTCGATATTATTTACATCGCTTATACATAGTTCTCTTTACTCATGCAGACTCACAGTACAAAGTTGGTAACGTCAAACGATGAAAGCGAGTGAATTTATTTTTCTTTCGAATATTGTACAAAATACAAATATTATTTCTATGGATTTACAATTTTAGTTATTTTACGTCAAGTAAAATACGATACGTGTCAAACTATGAATAAGAAATACTAAGGACTTATGTCTTACTGAACGATATCTTATACATGTCAGAAAACTTTTTTGAAACGCAAAGTGTCTTTTTTCAAAAGCAAAAGTGCTCTTAGGTAAAAAACTTTTAACATTCGCGAGAAATCTAAATGACGTTATTTTCCTTAATGCGAGGCTTGAGCACAGTCACGTGACATGCAATCTAAGCTAGAGCGTTCGAAAAATGCAGAATGGATTAAACAATTAATGGGTCATATAACTAAAGAACATTTTCAAATCTTAAACAAGTTTGACGTAAATAATATTAAATATATTCTTTTATTTGAAAAGGCTCAAATTATCTACTTCATTTAGTAATAATATACTTAACCGGCTACCCACATAAACGCATTGCGTGCCTATTTTTACTAAATATTACGGCTTTGTTCACTTGGGTGAATTTAGCTCTCATATTTGCGCCCGCTTAAATAAAAAGAACAACATTATCGTTTGGTTGTCAATGTATAGAGCATTTACTAAACTGTTTCAAATGTTTAGATTGCTTGATCCAAACATTTGAAAATATTGCAGGTAGGCAAAAGGTTCCAAAACAGTCACCTTTATGGCTGGTGTTTCCCTAATATTGGCAAAAGATCGTCTTTGTTTTTAGGCATGTTCAAACAGCCTTGCGAATGCTATTCAAATCACCAAGTTTATCACAGGGTCTCATCCAAAACACGGCATCAATCAATCAGATCACGCGTTTCGCATATGTTATTTTATAGTTTCTAATTATTCAATGTTACTCGGTGGTTGGGACTTTGCTTTCTACAGTATTGTCTCACCTACAATTTTCTATTAATAGATAAAATAGCATGAAGAGCTACATACCCCTTTTTCTTTCCTCTCTGACACTGAGTTTATCAATCTTTGCTTTGATAGATCGTATGATTCTATTTCGATCGATTCATGAAGAATCAAAAGAGTCAAAATAATGTAGAATACTTTCATGACTAAAATGAAATGTTGAAATTTGTATTTTATTGTAAAAACTTATAGCCGCTAATTAAAATCAGAATAATATTTTATTTTCTCATTCACATGATATTACATTGCCCATCCATAAAACGAAATTTCTGAATTGAATGTCAAGCAACTAGAAAAAGTTTTGTAAAACCCAAAAAGGAAAAAAAAACCATGCAAGAATTTTTTGAGACCTTTGAGTCTCAACCGGTAAATAACATAAATGTATTTATACATATTTTAAATACACTCTCTAGTCAGGGGCGGATCTAGGATTTTTCAAACATCAGTCATAAAACGTCGGAGGCGCTCCACTCCTGGGGGGGTCTGAGGCATTCTCCCCAGAGAAATTTTGTATTTCAGAACCTTGAAAATGTCATTTTTAGCGTTTTAGAGCAATACAAAATGTATTTTGTGGGCATCGTTTTTGCGTAAAAACAACACATTTTGCATACGTTTTTTCAAAAAAAAATGAAGTGAACAATACTTGAATGTTTTGCCAAAAATTATCATGCCAAACATATGGCTCATTAGCATGTCTAGGAACGTAAAATTTATTTTACAATAATGCTATTCAAAAAACAGATATAGTCTTTAAAATTTCTACCAAGTTGTCAGGCATAGACTCCCCCTAGAGACACCCACTCAAACCTCTATGTAATGAGTTAAGTTAGAAATTTGGTACTACAAGT